GAGAAGTGTAATCACTTTTGCAGTCATTGTTAAGTTCATAGACAGTGTTACTAAAACAAGTGGAAAGCATAACAAATTTAGTTAATTGTTTTATATAACACAGGACCCTTTAGAAATAAAGACCAAAACACCCAGGGAAACTGTCCACAGATTCAAGGAAAAATGTCCAAGCTTTTTGTCCACAGATTCAAGGAAAAATGGGCAGCCATGTGGAACTATGATTGGACAAGAGGGTATGATGTAATGGTACTGGACTGGAGGTAAAGCTCAGCAAGGTCTACCCGTCCAGATTCTTTTTTGGACTCTTTGTGTAATGTTCCTTCCTCCTAGATTGGGAGAAATTCTTCTGGAATTAGAGTCTTCAAGGGAGACAAAGAGAATTGGCCTTTCTTGATTTTACAGGTGGTTCTATTCTTGGAGAAGAGGAATCCTAATATCTATGACTCACCAAAAAGAGAGCGGGACACAGGAGGACAGCAGAAAGTCAGCAAGATATTGCTTCTGAGATCTTCAAATGTCTCTTGGTCTTAAAAACTCAGCATGCCAGAGTGCAGTGTTTAGGGGTATCATGTTCTAAACCCAACACCACACGCTTCACTATGTGACCAATTGGCTTGTATGCCAGATACATAGCCAGTGTCACTGTGTTTTGTGGATTCACTAGAACTCTGTTACTCAACCAGGGCCCGGCAATCTGAAGCATCCACATTACTGGGAACTTGCTGAAGAAACAGAATATCAGGCCCCAACCAAGACCTACTGAATCTGAGCCTGCATTTTAACAACATCCCCAATCAATTCATATACAAGTTAAAATCTGAGAAATACTACTGTGGATTAGTGTTCTTCACACTTACACATGTATTAGAACAAGGAAGAGTTTTAGAAATGATCTATGCCTCAGTCTGACTTCCAAATGTTATCATTTAATTGGTCTGAGAGTTCAGCCTGGGCTTTGGAATTCTACTCTGTACGAAAGTTTGCAAACCTTTGATACCAGCAGAATTTTTCAAGCTTTATTGGTTTTAAGCACTTGGAGGTATTTGCTAGTCATTCAAATACTCAAACTTCATCCTAGAATCAAGACCTCACTATATCAAGAAGCCAGATATTGAAGAGTAGAAGAATACAAATTCACTGGCTATAAGTTATTCATACCCTTAAAAACCTTGGGAAAATTGTGCTCCAAAGTAGTGTGAATACAGAGTACCCAGAAATTAAGGAAAGTCTCTCAAAAGAATGTGCTTCTCAAATCTCCACCACTGTGCCATTGTTTATCACCACTAGACAGCTTGTTCATGAGGTACAGTTATGAATTTATTGTGCTTGGCTCAATAAAGAATTGTTTTGACTAATAAACTACATTTTAGCACAAGATCTTTAAATTCATCATCTATTCTTTTGACACATTTTCATAGACTGCTATATTTATCAATGTCCTCTAAATCCTGATGTTACAATATTAAACACTAGAGACAAACTCACTACTCTCATGACATTTTTATTCTAACAAGGGAATAGCCAATAAACAGGAATAAAACATTAAATAGTGGGTGTAAATGAGTCTGCTATAGGAAAGAATGCTAGAGTTTTCCAAAATGACTGATCCAATGGGACAGGTGCATAGATACATTGGAAGGGTTTTATTGGAAGGACTAATTCACATGACTATGCAGGCTAAGCCCCACTGCAGCCTACCTTCAGGCATGGAATCCCAGAAGCGTGGTTCACTTCAAGCCCAAAGGCCTTAGAACTCGGAAGACAATGCAGAAGTTTCAGCTTAAGGCCAAAATTTTAAAACTCCATAGTCAGGAGGACTCTGGTGTAAGTTCCAGAGCAAAGAATTTTGCTGTTTAAGGCTGTACAAAATGTGTCTGGCTCTCAGAGAAGAGTTCAATTTTTTCTCTATATTACTCTTTCTAGGATTCCATCCAATCAGACAAAAGCTATCACACTGTTAATGGAGGTTTCCTACCTTGTCCATTGAACCTTATATGTTAACCTTCTCTGGAACACTCTTATGGTTTGATTTTCACTTTGCCTATATAAAAAATCCTGATTGATTCCTGTAGAGTTTATGTTTATTTGTTTTAAAGAAGCCTACTTCTTTAAAACTTTACACATCCAGCAACAAAAAAATGAATTCTCACCAACTTGGGGGTGAAATCACAGGAGGATTCTCCCACTCATTCCTAATAACCCTTTTAGTCTTACTTAGGTAAAGATTTTCATTCATAAATCTTTGGAGTATCATCTTTTTTCCTAATTTGTTTCTACCTTTGGTTTTGAAGTCTAATGCTCTTTGTCAATTGTGTGATGCTTTCCATGTGAGTGGAAGGTAAATTCATACCATTTTGAGTGGGTAAGTGCTTTTAAATGATTTAAAATCCTGGGAAGACATTTAACTCTTTGGCAGGGAGATTTGGAGAACACGTTATTTCCAGCTGTGGATTAGATCCATGTTTCAAAGGAGAAACTCACCAGCGGAGAATGCCACAGAATACATCCAGGTGTTTTTAAGAGCTGCAAAAATATCACAGCTAAGAAGAGCCTTCCATTGTTCCTTCAAGATGCCACACTTCTTCCTCAGTGGAAATGGATCCCATGAATCGTGCCTCTGAAAGGGCTCTTGGAATCATTCCAATCGGCTCGGAGGAAAGGGCTTTTGAGAACATTAAAAGCAGGAAACGAGCAAGAGAGTGTGAGCATTTGCAAAGGTGTTAAAGATGAATAGGACTTAACTTTGTTAAGAAGGAGATCTGGGGTAGACGACAGAAAATTCCATTCTGGAAGAGTGACAGTTACAAATAAAGGGGGTTGGAGAGGAACTGAAGCAATAAACTATGACATTTATGACATTAGTTAAAAAGAGAGAGAAAAAAACAAATTACACCTTAATAATTCAAGAAAATTAGTTGCTGTTGGGACCTGGATGAATGCTCAACTCACAAGGAGCTTAGTGTACTTGTTCTGTTTGGACTGTTTGTGTCCACGTACCTGTATTTTAAGATTGATATCCAGGAGGACAATAGACGACATATTCCTTTGTGTTGTTTTTAGAGAGAAGACATGGGGGTGATTGAACCCTGGACCATTTCAGCCTGAAGAATGAATTAAATCTACGGGGCTGTGGTCCAATTAATAGCAAAGCAACCTAATTGACCCCAAAACAGTTGACTCAGTGACACTCCGACAGAGCTTTGACAGCTTAGCAGTAAGATCAGGAAAGGAAATTAATACGTGATTTAAGTAAATTCAGGCACCTGGTGGTTTAATAGACCTAGACACTTTCATCTTTTGTTATTGAATTCAATCCGGCCCAGTTGGGAGCTATTGAAACATTGATGGCCATAAGCTGGCGCCTGTGATGTGCCACTTTGCGGCTCAAAGCTTCTTCCTGGATCACCGACGGGAAATGATGCAAGAGTGGGACTGGCACACACTCACGTATTTAACTCACACAGACCGGCCTTGTGTTTCCTCCTCGCGGGGTGGGTTTAAAATGTGATAAATGGTGAAAAGTTCTGGAACCAGAAGTCGGCTTAAAAATGCCAGGAAAACCTCAGTTGGACACAGTTCAAGCAACACACTTTTAATTAAAGCAAAAAAAAAAAAAAAATGGTCTTCAGCTGATTTCTTCTATATTCAACTCTTATACTAGATAGAACATTATCTTACTGTCCTAAGAACTTGCATTCTTTGCTGAAGTCCACCTTGGAATATCTGTTTATTTAATTTTTTTGAAGATTGTATGCTTCTTGGCTTCTACTGCTCCAGTCTGAGTATTCAGATATGGAATATATGGGTCACAGCTTGACTCATCAGAAAACACTGGTTTAAATGTTTTATTAGCTTGTTAATACATAAGTAATGCATGATTCTAAGATGTGAAGCAACGTGGGAAGTTGTAAAATGGAGAAATAATATATTTAAATTGAAACATACATAGTCAAATTGCCTTTCCAAAAGTTTGTGCTAATTCTTATGCTCAGAAATGATGTATGATAATTTCCTGTCCTTACGATACATTTGCACAGAGTTTGTATATTTATTTTGTGCAACTCTATCTATACTGGGGAATATTTAAATATGGAGTTTGGGGGTTATTTGCTTTGTTGTTGTTGGTGGTGGTGGTGCTTTGCAAAATGGAATCTCTCACTATTATTCAAGTCCATTTGTCTCCTGATTTTGTCTCCAGAATAGAGCTCTCGCCTAGCCCAGGGTGTGTATCCCATTGCTTCCTTTGCAAACTAGAAGTTCCTCCCGGGATATATCCTCTCATCTTTCAAGCTTTACCTCCAGTGAAACATCTGATAATTTTTTTCCTTCTCTCCTTCATTCCAGATGTCTGCTTTGATTTGAGAAGAAATCCCAGTTTTAAGGAGAAATCCTAATTCACTCCAAAATAAACGATTGCTGTGGTTTGAATACAGATCCTCTCCCCTGAAACTCATGTTGAAATTACATTGTAATTGCAGTAGTATTGAAAAGTTGGGTCTCCAAGGAATCATTAAGTCATTAAGAAGGATTAATGCCTTTCTCATGGAGAGGGATAATTCTTTTAGAATCGAATCAGTTATCACCAAAACAAACTATTGTAGATGGATCATCCTACATACTTTTCAACACATTCACGCCCCTCCTCTTTTCCACCATGATGTTTCTCAGTACGAAGGCCCTCTCCAGCTATCACTGCCTTGTCATTAGACTTCTTAGCCTTTTGCACTGTGAACTTCATAAATTTCTTTGCTTCATAAATCAGCTTGTCTCTGACACTGTGTTACAGCTCCAAAACACAGATTAAGACACTGCACACATCACCTTTCTGTACTTGTTTCCCTGAAAAGTCCCTTCCTGTTATTTGTTTACATTCTTTCTCCACCAGCATCATAAGGTCAGAGACTTAGCTTTGCTGCAATCTTTTCCTGTTCTGACCCATGGTTTGGTAAAGAAAACTGATGAATTTGTAAAAGTGATAGTGAGAGGCTCGTTCTTCTTACCTTTAGAGGCAGTGGTAGAAGCACAGGGATGAGCGATCTTCAGTGAGTCCCTGACATTAAGCTTCTTTTCCACTGGCTCTGGAGATAAACACAAACAGCAAAGGGTTCTAAAGAAATGAGAAGAAATTTTTCCGTTCATTTTATCCTTTCTTAATCAAATTGGGGAAAACCTGCCACATTTTAAGCCTCTCATTTTCCCCATGATTTTAGCTCAATGCACCTTCCAAATGATCATTTGAGCCACAAATAACCAAGGTAAATTTTGTATTCTTGTCAGGAATAACCGTATTCATTTGTCTGAGTTGTGCATTTTTCCTCTTCTAAGAAAAATCAGGGGGAGTTCATGGCAACGTGATATAACAGGAGTTTTTCTCATTGATGGTTGTTTTTTCCTGATCATATATTCACTCTAGCACATTTAGACAATTCTGAAGAGTAGAGAGAAAAAAATGTAATCCATACATTACCTTTTATCATCAAAATAAACATGTTGTCTAAAGCTGGATTCCTCCAAAAGCAGAAGCTAAGAGAAATGGAATTCAAGTTGTTTATTTTGAAAGTGATCCCAAGAATTGCCCACAGGAGATGAGGGAAGCCAGAGAGGAAAGGAAAGGAAGTCATAGAGGAATCCTCATGGGCAGTTCCGCTTAATCCAGTTGGGGAGACCATATAATAAACACCTCTGTATTGTACCACTTTGGAGGCGGGAAACTAGTGAGTTCATGCACATTTCTAGTTCCCGATTGGCTTAAAGCTGCTACTAGGGGTGTTAATTCCACAGTAACCCTCCTCAATTCAGAAGCCAGCTGCACCAGATCAGAGAATGAAGAGATACACAGGCAGGTTGTGGATCGCATCTGTTAGATGTTCATTAGACAGCCTGAGGTAGAAGCAATCTGATGTCAAGCTCTATCTTTCCTCCACACAGGAAGGGCTGAACAAACACACAGTCATAGAAATACTAGTTTCAGAAAATCCCAATGAGTTTGAGCACACAAATGAAAATCACTGTTAGCAGATGTAGCGCTAAACCAAGGCTTTAAATACATTTACACAGCTCGGCATGGCTTCCTTATTCTTAAAATCTACCAAAAGAGTATGTCTCCAGATAGTTCACCCAAGGAGAGTTTGAAGTAGGGTAGAAATACAACCTGAAGTCAGGAGTCCCACTCAGCTAAAAGTCACCTGATATATAATCACCCTAGTCCTCAGGTCTGTAGGCAGAAAAATGTGAATGTTCATTGTATGTCATAGCTCTTCAGGGTTATTTGTTACATAGCATGATTTTATCAATAGCTGACTAAGCCCATACTCAAAGGAATATATTTAGCAAAGCATTGTGGAAAATAGTTTAAAAATAAAACTACCGTATCACAGGTATCCATCCTTTTTTTATAAAGGAGAACCAACTTGAAAGTTTATAAATAGTAAATTTCATCAATTAAAATTTTGATTATATGGACTAAATAACATCCCCGATTCAGATAAAGGAGAAATTCAGAAGGAAATAGATTAACAACAGGATCTAATATTTATTGCAAAGAAAGAAATAAAGGTAGGAAAATAAATTAAAACATGAAGTATAGATCTCAAAACAAAGAAAAGTAATCCTGGGGAAAAGGTCTCACAATTAAGAGCTCACCAAATACCTGAGCAGAACCGAAGGAAAAGGAACTCTCACCTTGATAAATTGTGGCAAATTTTCATTATTATAAAAATTTAAAAGTGATACAGAGACAGAGAGAGAAAGAAGTGAAAAAGTTATGCATATAAGAAACAATATAGGAACTGTCTGCAATCTCACTGTATGAATGTCCACTTTATATGCTTTCATTTTATAATTTGGACAACTGTTTCTAAGATGACAATATGTAACCTATTAACTAGTGATTTCTTACTGTTTATTTTTTTCTTGAAATTCTGTATTACTTGTACCCTTTTACTGCTTTGTTTTTTTTTATTTCCTTTCTTTTTTCTCTTTAAATAAAAAAGAAACAATATATACTTTAATACCAATGATTTCATCAGCCACATTAGATTTAAAAACTTTAAAAAATGAAGCTTTGATATGCTAGGAACAGAGAAAAATGTCACCAACCTACTGAGGAGTATTTTCAGAAATCTGTGGCAAATTTCACACCTAATAGTAAAAGAACTAAGTTTTCCTTCTATACTTTTTCAATTTTAATTTTCAGTTTCAAATAAATCATCTATCAGTGTATGTCCTTCCTTTAAATTTGTATAAATTTTTATAAATGTTTTGAACGATTGCAAAATGGTTCATTTTATGCACAGATATAGTCTAATACATTAAATCAGTCTTTACTGTGGGACTGGTACTTTCTAGTTTATGAGTGTGTGTCACATTTGAAATCTGTCATGTGTTCTCAAACTCTGATCTGATGCTACCAAATTTTTGGACAAAATTAATAACAAAATAAATCTTATGCACTTCTAAAAGTATTAAAGTACTGTCAAAGCTAATGATCATCTCATATTTTTGCATCTAATTAGTAGAACTTATTGTGCAGAAGATCCACCCTGTACACTTGGCATCCACTGCTAACTCAGACATAATTTCCTGCCCTCATGAATTGTGTGTATTTCCTCCTTTATAAATCATCCATTAATGTAATCAGCTAGTGATCTTGTTTCTTTCAATTTTCAAAAGCTATTCATACATTAGGCTAACAGTCCTTTGTCATATGTATTACTGTCACAACAAAATAGCAAGACACACTCATGGAAGCTGACAACAGATACAAACAAACCTGATGATTGGCAGATGAGTCCCACTGAGTTTCAATCCCAGGAGAGGAAGACAATGGTTTATATAGAGTCAGTCCAGTTTCTAACAATAGCAGATACTTCCAGAGAGACAGTGCACAGTTTTATCCAATCATATTATGATTTGACGGGGCAATTTGATTAGCTAGGCATTTCAACATTTACAAGAAACAGAAACTTAAGGAACCAAAGACTCAAAATGGAGCATGTTTACAAGATTGTGTCAGAGGTGCTGTTTCTCTTTTTTCTGTGTCATTATAATACAGTTAATGTGTTGTTAATATTTTGATTTTTATGGTTCTTTTTTTACAACTCTTGAAAATTTTGATTTTCTATAGACACATCTTCCAATATTGCCCTATATTTTTCTAGTCACCTATCCCAGAACTATAGAAATGCTCACCTAGACTGTCTTATAACTTCTTCATAATTCTTAAACTTTGAACTTTAAAAATTATCTGATAATGTGCAAAATAAATTTATTCACTGGTCTTAAGAATCATATATAACATGAATTATGTACGGTACCATATATAACATGAATTGTGTATGTTTGACAGTGAGAGTGATTTTACATATTAAAAGTATATCCCTGCACACAACAGCCACAGACTCACATCAAGTTCTTATGTAAAAATAGTCCTCCTAGAAGCAAAATTATTACCTTTAGAATAAGGCCCAAAATCGTTAGCATAGCTCTTACCACTTTTCCAGTGGGCCTCCCCAAACTCTCCTGGGCATAGCTCTTTCCCTCCTGGCTCGCCACCTTTCCCTCTGCAGGTCCCTGCAAGTAGTATTCTTCTTCTTGTGGCTCTTGACACAAACTGCTCCTCTACCCTGACCTGAGTTGGTTATGCTCCTTCAATTAGCTAACCCTGATTTATCCTTCTGATCAAGGCTTTATTATGCTTCCTTGAAAGGAGGCAGGCAGGCCATTTCTTAAATATTGATTGGACCACCTCTTAAATCCTAGCCTTTTATATATATCTTCTCTCCACTCTCCAAAGAAGACTGATGAAATCATGACAGCCTTACTGCGTGACCATAGCAACTATGGGTTGAGAATCCCTAACCTGAAAATGCCAAATCCTAAGAGCTCTAAAATCTAAAACTTTTTAACTTCTCTGGTACTGTACGTGGAAAATTCCACGTGCAACATCAAATAACAGGTCTTGGCCAAAATGCAGGTGCATTGGGTGATTGGAAGTTGTGCATACCAAGATACGTACTTAGATGCATGAGTTGTGGGGAAAGACGATCAGAACTTATTGAATTGTTCTGATGCAATAAAACAGGGAAATCATCTTATTTTTCTCTTTATCTTCTAGAAGTCATTCTGATAATGCTAGCAGAAAAGGGAGAAATTCAAATGCTGAAACTATATTATAGTAGCTTAAATGATGGTGAATTTTGTCTATAAAGGTAATAAATGAGGAAGCAATAATTCTCAAACTGCTGCTTTGGCAAGGTCTTTTATTTTTGTCTTCTGATTTACATGTATGACCTAAGTCAGGTAAATAATACGTCTTACTTCTTTACCATGTTTTATGCAGGCAGCCTGCTATGGAGACTGTTATGCAGATGTAAAATAATTGATAGAAGGGTTTATTTCTAACTGCGCCTTAAGCAGAACAAATGCTCTTTTCTATACATTTCCTTACCTTAATAATATAAATTTTTAAAATAAACACAGATGCAATATTTTGTAATATGACCTTCAGGCCAAGTGAATAAGCTGTGTATGAGACATAAATAAATTTCATGTTCAGACTTGGATTCTGTCCCCAAAATCTCATGATGTATATACAACTGTGCCAGAATCTGACAAATTTAAAATCTGACCTCAAGCATTTTGAACCAAGTTTAAACTTATTGGGCAGCGGGCCTTGAGGGCAAGAACCTCGGCTTTTCATGGGTGTGTCACCAGCAGCTGACAAAGAAATCACAGTGAATGTGGGCAGAACAGTAAACTGAAAAAACCAGGACGGAAGTTGGAGGTAATATTCTTTTAGCAAGACCTGTGCCACTGTTGATTTTGAAAGAACACTGGCTTGCATATCATAGAACTTGTTTCGGGTGATGGCATCCAGCTACAGTTCTACAGTTTGGACCTGTAAACTTTATCAACACTGGCTTCTTCATCTATTAATTACCTATATTCTGCAAGCCTGCTGGTCAGATTTCTTGAGCTCTATGTGCTATGCATTGCGATGCTTCCTGAATTATATTACCTATATGCCCTATGATAAAGACGCAATTGTTGTCTTTACTGTTACACTGGAGACTTTAAG